CCCGGCCACCAGCAGTGGCTGCGAGCAAGCTGCTTCATTTTCACCACGCCCCAATGGCCGTCATGCAGGAGCTGCAAGATACGTTTACGTAAGGACAGCGGAATGACAACTCGGTTTGCTTGGCCCTGCAAATATATAATATCATTATTAACAGTTAAAGAAATTTTTTTATTGAAAAACGGTAAAATGTGCGAATTGGTGGTTGATAGGTGCTTTGGCCAACCAACACGTATGAAGCTGCGAACTTTCTTAAGAGTGTCATCTGTTTCAAGATGCTTCAATATTAAGCTGGGGTTTACGGGTGTTTCAAAGTGATCCACATTCAAACATGCTTCGGTTTTGTCAAACTCAGGATCAGCTGCGTATGGTAGTCGTGAAAGGGCGTCGGCGTTCCCGTGCTGTGATGTTGGTTTATACCTTATATCATATTGGTATGCCATTAACGTAATAGCCCAGCGTTGAAGCCGATGGGCGGTCATTGTAGGCAATTGCTTATCGGGGCTAAATATACTCACAAGTGGTTTGTGGTCCGTGATCAGCGTAAATTTGCGGCCATATAAATATTGGTGAAACCGCTGTACGCCAAATATAATTGACAAGGCCTCTTTTTCGATCTGGCTATATTTTACCTGATGTTGGTCAAGAGTCTTAGACGCAAATGCTATTGGTCTCTCCGTTCCATCTGGGTACATATGCGAGATTACGGCGCCTATGCCGCGGAGCGATGCATCAGTAGCGAGAAGAAGTGGAAGGTGCTCCTGGTAGTGTGCTAATTGAGCTGCTTTCACTATCGAATTTTTTAAAGACGAAAAGGCGTCCTCTTGCGCACTTTGCCATTTGAAACGTACGTTCTTCCGACGGAGTTGATTAAGAGGCGCGGCAATTTCCGAAAAATTCGGAATGAAGCTATGATAGTAATTGACTTTACCCAAGAAGGCCTCGAGATCTTTTAGGTTTTGTGGGCGGCGTAGCTTTTTAACAGCCACCACCCCTGCTTCATCCGGAGAAATGCCACTGGCGCTTATTCGCCTGCCCAAGTATTCGATTTCGTCTTGTAGGAAAACGCACTTCTCCCTCTTACATTTAAGTCCACTCGCTTGCAGACGCACGAAAACTTCGTTCAGTCTCCTCAGATGTTCGTTAACTGTGGGTGCGGTTACGATTATGTCGTCAAGATAGTTGGCGCAACCCTCGATACCTTGAAGAAGTTGCTCCAAAAATTTTTGAAAGATGGCTGGCGCGCTAGCGATTCCGTATGGCATTCGCTGAAATTGATACAGTCCCAGAGGCGTATTCACTACAAGTAATCGTTTGGCTTCTTCGTCCAACTCCAATTGCAAATAGGCATCTTTCAAGTCTATTTTAGAAAACTGCTTACCATACCGTACTACATGTAGCAAGTTTTCGCGTGTTGGTAGCGGGTAGCGTTCGACATCAATTTGCTTATTTATTGACACCTTAAAGTCACCACATATACGGATTGAACCGTCGGGCTTTGCGGTGTGAGAACTATAGGCGATGCCCACTCACTAAATTTGACGTTTTTCCAAATTCCTGCGTCAACTAGTCTATTTGCTTCTTTCGTAAATTTAGGCATTAATGCAAAAGGAATTGGTCGGCTCTTAAAAAATTTTGGCTGAGCCTCGGGGTTTAATTTAATACTAGCTTTAAAACTGGTGACGGTGCCTAATTCCGGCTCGAACACTTGACTGAATTTATCTAATATTGCATTAACTTCGGGCATTATGTCGTTGATAGCTAAAACTTGCTGTATCTTGTAACCGAAGGCTTCAAACAGATCTGCGCCAAACAGATTGTTGCCAGAGTGCACACATGCGACCACAAGTTTAACTTGTTTTTGCTTTGCACCACATATAACATTCACTTTGAACTCACCAAGAGTATTTATTTTTTTGTTACCGAAACCGAATAATGACCGTCTACAGGGGCTCAGTGGTGGCTTATTAAGATTTTCATAAGTTTCTTGCGTTATTATAGAAATAGATGCACCGGAATCCATTTGAAATGTTATTAATTTATTCAATATTTTTAAGTCAACGAAATTTTTGTTGTCTTGCTGCTTAATAACTCCGGTCACGGTATAAATCGTTTCAATTGTGTCGACATTGTCTTTGGATCCGTTATTCTTCCTGGCAGCTTTTTGCGAGAACGGTTTTTTATTTGCACTTTTCTTTGCATAATTGCTCGTACTTTTCGACATGCATACAGGTGCTATATGCCCTACTCGTCCGCATTTTCGGCACACTGCTTTTTTGAAACGGCATTGCTCTCGGCTATGTGAGTCACCGCAGCCTGAGCAAGACTTGTACACAATCCGCTTGTTGTTGTTATCTGCGCGAGTTTTATGAGATAATGCTTTCGAGCTATTAACTGCGTTCACGAGTGATGTTGTTTCACCGGCTATATTTTCCTTAAGCGATTGCACCGCTGTTGTCGTGCTCTCATATGATTCCGTAGAACTTCTGCTAATGTCGGTTGGAGTTTTTGTAACGCAGCAGCGCGGACGGTGTCGTGCGGGGTATGTAATATTATCATGTCACGTATCATCTCATCTACGTACTCATAACTGCAGTTACCGCTTCTGCACAAAAAGTTGCATTCCCTTGCTATGCCCCGCAAATCAGCGACCCACTCCTTGTAGCTTTGATTTGGCTTCATACTACATCTATTAAAGTTGTAGCGTGCAGAAATAACATGAGTTTCTTTTTTAAAATGTTCTGATAATTTTGCCGTTAGCTCTGCATAGCTGTAGTTTTGCAAGTCATGACTGCCGAATAATTTCTTTAACAGCTCAAAAGTGTCGCTGCCCGTCCACGATAAGAAGAAGGACTTCTTTTTTTCTGGTGTACTGACTTCATAAGCGATAAAGTGTTGGCTTAGCTGCTCCAGATATGAGTCCCAACTTTGGAGCTCTTTATTGAATGCGTGGAATGATGTCACCATGGAACCTTCTCCTACAGCTTTGTCTTTTAAAACAGACTCCATCCATGCTTTTTGCGCTTCAAACATTTTTTGTGTAAAATTTTGCTGTTGCTCGAGGAGTTGCTTGAAAAACGCATTGTTATTAACGGGCGGTTTTTCGTCCGGCATTATTAATTATAAAATGAAACCGAGAATAACTTTTTATGACACGTACGGGTTGCTTATTTAAAAATCTCGTCGCCAGTTGATAAGTCCGCGTCAAAAGGCTGTTTCAATGCAACTAACATTTATTAAATCTAAACCATAAGCATAAGCTTAAAGCTAAGTCAACTAAATACTAATAACAGAGTTGTTACATACATATATATGTAAAAGATAAGTTGCTGAATTCATTGGAGTATGTACATATGTTATTTCACAGTAATTCAATGTTAATGTACATCTATATATTTTCTAATATTAGGGTATTAAGGTTATGAACATTAATAAGCTGATGTTAAATATATATCGTTTAAGGTATTTCATCACAGTCTATATATGTATCGTCACTAGACACGAATAAAGGTGCGCCAGTGTTTCGACGGCGAAAAAAGACGCATAAAAAAAAATTTACGAAAAAAGGCGCTTAAGAAAAACTTCGGCGAAGAAAGCCGCGTAACCTAGTTGTCGGCGAAGAAAGACGCGTAATCATATATTTATACTTGGCCAAGGACTGTCACTTCAGCACTATTCCTCTAAAACTATTTACGGAATGTACATACTATTACACCCGCAAACATAGTTGACCGCGAAAATAAGTTTACGCGTCCTTCTTCGCCGTCAAATATTTTAACGCGTCTTTCTTCGCCGTCAACTATATTAAGAGTCTTTCTTCGCTGAAGTTTTTTTTATGCGCTTTTTTTCGCGGTCAACTTTTGAGCTCGCGCCTTTATTCGTGTGTAGTGACGGTATATTGTATTTCTCTGGAACAAGGATACGCATTCATTTTGAAATTGCCACCAACTATAAGATAAAGTTTAAAGTATAAGATAAACTTTCACTACAGATCCGGATCATTGTTGCCACCAGGGAACTTCTCATGGACAAAACACTTTCGTTCGGTTATTTAAGGCGGAAAACGACCACCAAACCATAGTCTTAGCCGATGAATGTGCCAGTACAAATCGTAAATGTGGATTGTTGGAGAAACTGTGGGACCAAAATGTTTAAATTAAAGATCTAATTTTGGGCGAGACGAAGTTTGCCGGGTCTGCTAGTTAGAAATAATCTCGGTCGGAAAACAAACAACAACCAATGATCAAGTCTAAATGAAAAATTGGGGAACTTACTTCTGTGGGAAGACCACTTGCTTTGTAATCCGAAGTCTCTGGTTTATATCCCAGTTACCGCGGTTGAAGAAGTCTGATGAGCAGATGTAGTGATCTCCGAAATAGCAGCTATAACTTTTATTAAATGTAAATTATTGTTGTTTTCCAGAACATTTTTCATTGTAAACGGCCTCAAGCTTAATAAAATTGTTGAATATAATATTTATTAGGCCATAAATAACAAAAAACATCTCTTTTTTTAGGGAAATAAACTAAGAAGGGCGAAATTCGAGGAATTGGTCGCGTGTATTTTCTTAACAAAAAAAACAACATATTACAAATTTGTAAGAATATTAAAAGTACTTTTTCAGTACCCATTCGTCCTTATGCACCAATTTAATCTTTTTTAATTCTACATAATTTTCTCTTTTGGGTTTTTAAGCAATTTTTTAATTAATCATATCTTTAAAATTTCAAAATCTTTGAAGAAAATTCCTGACGTCAGAGAGAAAGCCGAAATACGTAGTTTTACCATTTTTGGCACCTAGTTTCGCGAATTAATTTTTTGTGTGTAAAATTGACTGTCGCACGGTGTTATAAGTAAACCAATTTTGAATAGAGCTTCTTCCTTATTTAACGATCATTATAACTGATACATACATATTTACATACAGACAACAAAAGATCTCAATTTAACTAACCATCTAAATAATGCTAATAAATTTTGTATTTATTTCTTTCTGTGTTTAGGGTGGAATTCACAGTTGGCAGCAAACCCGTAAATAATTTTCGGATGATAGAACGGCACTTTTTCCGAGACCGGTTGCTTAAAACATTTGACTTTGAATTTGGCTACTGCATTCCATATTCCCAAAACTCTTGTGAACATATTTATGAGTTCCCTAACCTCCCTTCTGAGCTAGGTAATGTATTAAAAATTATTTTGGCTTATTAGCAAATCGTATCAAAGTTATTAGCAACAATTAAGGACAGCGCTGTCTTCGGCTATGCCGAATGCTCATACCTTTCATGACTATAAATAAAATTTTACATAAGCCTAAATATTATTACATTTTTAATTACATAGTAGTTTGGAATCCTAATGATTTTGTCGGTACTACATGTATGATTGATTAGTAAATAGCTTACCCTATGGCCGTTTGAACCAAGACCGTATTTAGGGGGGGGGGG